GGGAATAGAGGGAAGAGGTTGTGTGGGGAATGTTGTGTGGTTGAGAGGGAAGAGGTGTTGTTGGGTTGAGAGGGAAGAGGTTGTGTGGGGAATGTTGTGTGGGTTGAGAGGGAAGAGAGTTGTGTGGGGAATGTTGTGTGGGTTTAGAGGGAAGAGGTTTTTGGGGAATTTGTGGGGTTGAGAGGGAAAGGTTTTGTGGGGAAGTTGGTGGTTGGGAGTCAAGAAAGGTTGTGTTTGTTGTGTTGGTTGCAGAGGAAGAGGTTTTTGTGGGGAATAGTGTGTTGGGTTGAGAGGGATAGCAGGTTTTGGGGAATGTTGTGTGGGTTGGAGTCAAAGAGTTGTGTGGGGAATGTTGTGGGTTGAGAGGGAAAGGTTCTGTCGTGGGTTGAGAGGGAAGAGATTTTTGTTGTGGACAATGTTGTTGTGGATGTGGGAGTCACAGGTTGTGTGGGAATAGTTTTGTTGTGGTTGAGAGGGAAGAGGTTGTGTGGGTTGAGAGGGAAGAGGGTTGTGTGGGGAACTGATGTGGGTGGGTTGGGGAGTCAAAGAGGTTGTGTGGGGAAGTTGTGTGGGTTTGAGAGGGAGAGAGGTTTTGTGGGAATGGTTGTGTGGGGTTGGGAGTCAAAGGTTGTGTGGGGAATGTTGTGTGGGTTGAGAGGGAAAGAGGTTGTGTGGGAATGATATGTGGTGTTGAGAGGGAAAGGTTTGTGTGGGAATGTTGCGTGGTGTTAAGAAGGAGTTCAAGAGGTTTGTGGGGAATGTTTGCGTGGGTGAAGTCAAGGAGGTTGTGTTGGGGAATGTTGCGTGGGTTTGAACAAAGGTTTGCGTGGGAATGTTGCGTGGGTTGAGAGTTCAATGAGGTTGGTGTGGGGAATGTCGTGCGTTTGGGTTGATGGTTCAAATAGGTTGCGTGGGGCATGTTGCGTGGTTGAGAGTTCCATGAGGATTTGTTGTGGGGAATGTTGGCGTAGGGTTTGAGAGTCTAAGAGGTTGTGGGATCGTTTGTGTGTTGACGAGTGGAAGTTATTTGGTGGGGAATTAGTTTTGTGGGTGATGAGCCTATAGTAGTGTCGTGGTGGATATGTTGCATTGTGGGTTGAGATGGGAAGAGGTTGTCGTGGGAATGTTGTTCGTGGGGTTGAGAGTCAATGAGTTCTGTGGGGAATGTTGCGTGGGTTTGATTTAGTCAGAGGTTTGCTGTGGTGGTAATGTTGGCGGTGGGTATGATGTAGGGATAAGGTGTCCGTGGGAAATGTTGCGTGGGTTTGAGAGCAAGCAGGTTGTGTGGGGTATCTGTTGCGTGTGTGTTTAAGAGCGAGTCAAGAGGGTTTGTGTGGGAAGATGTTGCGTGGGTTGATATGCACGAGGTTTGCGAATGGGTTGAATGGTGGCGTGGGTTTGAAGACGTCAAGACAGGTTGTGTGGGGAATGTTGCGTGGGTTTTGAGAGTCATATGAGGTTGTGTGGGAAATGATGTGTGGCGTATGAAAGAGGGCAAAGAGATTGAGTGGCCGGAATGCTTGTGTGCGGTTGAGAGGAGAAGAGGTTTGTGTGCGGAGTGAATGTTGTGGGGTTGAGAGGGAAGCAGGTTGTGTGGGCGAATGTTGCGTGGGTTGAGAGTCAAGAGGTTGTTCCGGGGAATGATGTGTGGGTTGCACGAGGGAGCAGCGTTGCAGTGGGGAATGAATTGTGTGGGGTTGAAGGTGTCAGAAGGTTGCGTGGGGAATCTTGTGTGGTCTGATGTAGGGGAAGAGGTTGTGTGGGCCGGAATGTTGCGTGGGATCTTGAGAGTCAAGGAAGCGTTGGTGGTGGGGATGTTGCGTGGGTTGAGAGTCAAGAGGTTAAGTGTGGCGGAATGTTCGGTGGGTTGAGAGGTCAAGAGGTTGGTGTGGGAATGTTGACGTGGGTTGCGAGTTCAAGAGGTTGCGTGGGGAATTTTGCGATGCGGTTGAGAGTCAGAGGATTGCAGTGGGGAATGTTCGCGTGGCGTTGAGATGTGCACGAGGTTGTTGTTTGGGGAATGATTGCGTGGTTGAGATCTCAAGAGGCCGTTGTGTGGGGAAATGTTGTTTGTGTTTTGAGAGGGACAGAGGTATGCTTGTGGTGGAATGTGTATGCGTTGGTTTGAAAGTCAAAGCAGGTTTGCGCTGGGGAATGTTGCGTGGTTGAGAGGGCAAGAGTGCGTGGGGAATGTTCGGCGTGAGGTTGAGAGTCAAGAGGTTGTGGTGGGATGTTGCGTGGGTTGAGGAGTCAAGAAGTTGCGTGGGAATGTTCGCGTGGGTTGAGAGGGCAGAGAGGTTGCGTGGGGGGGAATGGTTGCGCTGGGTTGACAGTCAAGAGTGTTGTGTGGGGAATGTTGCGTGGTTGAGAGTCAAGAGGTTGAGTGGGGACATGATGTGTGCGGTTGATGAGGAAGAGATGGAGTGGGAAATGAATGTATGTGGGTTGAGAGGAAGAGATGAGTGAGGGGATATGTTGGTGCGGTTGAGAGGGAAGAGGT